TCATCCTTGGTAAGTCCATGTTATAGGTATACATCTTCATCCTTGGTAAGTCCATGTTATAGGTATACATCTTCATCCTTGGTAAGTCCATGTTATAGGTATACATCTTCATCCTTGGTAAGTCCATGTTACAGGTATACTTATTCAAAATGTTTCATTATAGAATGTATATATCTTCCCATGAAGCAATGACTTCTACGAACAAAGTCTAAACATATCCATACTAAGAATTTATTTATTGTTCCCCAGTGTTTAATGCTGCACATTGGTTGAAGCTCGCTCACCCTGGGTGTCAAATTTTCACAAGTATTTATTGAACTTTACAGCACACTATACGAGTATCATACACAGAAACGTCCTGGGTTTCTATATTATCTACGAAATAGCCAAATTTAACTTATCAGAGAGCTCAGAGTCCAGATACATAACGTTTTATTGTTTCTATTATGACTATATTCTAGAATTTGGTTCATATTAACGCAATATACAATACGGACAAAGTATTGTATCTGACAAACTTATCAGATCAACAAATGGGTAGTTAACTCAGAGATAGAGTAATTTAGTAGCTCTATTCTTGTGCTGTAATACCTTACTAACGCTCTAATGCCTTTTCTTAACTTTTGTTGTACTGAAATTAGTCTAATAATTTATTTCCTTGGTGTCTTATAATCAGAAACACGTGCAAATAAATACACCTGAATTAGTGTGTATTTTAGTCGCTCTGGGCAAGATTTTGAAATGCTGTCCCTGCATCCCTGCACCTTTATCTACGGTAAACATTTTTATAAATAAAACAATACAAGAACAAGGTATCGTAATTTCTAGTAAACTTTTCCCTTAGCGCCGTTATCAACGGTAAACATATATACGTAATATTACTTAACCAAACTGTCTCAATTTCTAGTAGACTTTTACTTCAACGCCATTATCAACGTAACATTATTTGAACAAAATTTCACAATTTCTAGTTTATATTCAGAATAATTTGATCTTGCTTTTTTTTTACCTGCAAAGGAAAGAAGCGTTTCTTTAAGGTCTAGTTTCTTGAATTTAGCAGAAACTTGTTCTATATTTAAATTAATTCTCAAACAAGGTTTATTTCTGTCAGCACTGTTTCCAGATTAATAAGACACGTGAGAAGATGTAAAGCGAGCATGAGATAGTCTATTCTGTTGAAAGTAAAATATGAAAACTTTGATTGATTTTACGCCTTAGGCAGTTGCCTACCTTGCCTATTTCAGCTAAATCCGGCATGCCCAAGGGTAATATAGCAAACATTTTATCTTTATATTTTTTCCAACCAAAGCCTTGGTCAACGCGTATTTCCTGAAAACCTATTATTTCGAATCTATTGAAAGATCGTGCCACTCTATAGTTTTAGAATGACCATCAGAAACAACGCGAGTCTAATTAAAGCTCAATAAATATAGGAACACAGTCCTCCTCACACCAATAAACGATATTACGTTGTAAAGTCTAAGCCTAGAGAAACACTTGCTGACGTACAATGAAATACGGTTGTTCTTGTTATCTGTTTATAGTCGACATAATTCTTGCCAAAAAGAAAGAAAAAAAAGGGGAGGGAATTGATAAGATGCGTGCAAGTAGTTTTGGAAATAATTATGTTTATAATGTTTCTTTTCGGAGAATTGGGCTGGAAATAGAATGGGTATACTGTTCATTTGTTCAATGATAGGTCAATATCAAATTATTAATGTGTCAATGTTCCTGATGCTAATAAGTTTGTTTCTTTATCTGTAGTTAAGCAGAAAGCTACACAATGGGCTTCTGTGCTCTACCTGCCACTGGTATCGAAACCTGGTTTCTAGCGTTTTAAGTCCGCAGACATACCGCTGCTCCACTGGGGCGCTCTTAATAAGATATTTGTGACTTTTTACCAGTATTAATGAACTATTTTAATAAACATTGCTTTAGGAATAAAGAGAACACAGCTTGCCAAGTCAGTTAGCTCAAGAGCTAAGTTAGTGATTATAATATTTAAAACGAATGTATGCAGAAATGTTGAATAGCATTTATAACACCTTTCTTTAGACATTTAATAATTTGTTTTTTTCTATGTCGGGTATTCAGTGATTAATAATTCCTCGCAGCCTGTCATCATCATTAGTTTCAGCTTTAAAAAAGGCTTAATTGTTAAAGATTTTCACTCTGTCATCATTAGCTTCAACTTAAAAAAGGCTCAGTGCTAAAGATTTTCACTCTGTCATCATTAGCTTCAACTCAAAAAGACTCAATGCTAAAGATTTTCAATCTGTCATCATTAGTTTTAGCTTTAAAAAGACTCAATGTGTCGTCATTAGTTTCAGCTTTAAAAAAGACTCAATGTTAAAGATTTTCACTTTGCCATCATTAGTTTTAACTTTAAAAAAAGACTCCATGCTAAATATCTTCACTCCACTATGTTGGAATATTAGTTTTAAAGAATAGAATTTTAAGATAAAAAAAGCGATCAGTATGCTTACTTACAGATACAATATTATCTACAGATTTGCATTAGTTAGTTAGATTTATTTTTATTTATTTTGGAGTAATATTAATAGATCTGTGTTTTGAAGGAGCGGGATCTTTTTGATTTATGAAGCTATGTGAATTAAACATTTTTGAAATTTCTCTCTTTAAATTAAATTGCCTTAGATAAACAATTTCAAAACGTTAATTTGTATTTTTTAAATGTGTTCATTGGGTATCATATGTTTGAATTTTATAACTTCTTCGCAGTCTTTCTAACCTTATGATAAATAGTACATTGAATTTTGCTATTGCAGAGACATTTATTAAAAATATGGCAAGCATATTGAAAATATAAATTACGTTCAGTTTGTGAAAATGTTATATCCACCGGAATTCAGTAAAACTGTAAAACAGTAAAAAAAACACGCAAAAAATGAAATGCATTTATCCTATCTCAAACATTGTTTATTTTTGAAAGTAAAATACACAACAACAGCAATAAAGAAAAATTGTGTGTAAATTATACCCAAATGGTTAAATTGGAGATGAAGAAGCATGTGCTGTCCACTGTGTGTCACATGCCCTGTATCATCCACTGTGTGTCACAAGTTTAACTAGGTTAAGAAGCTCGTAGAGCACAAAATAAACACAGAAGTTCAACTAGGTTAAGAAGCTCGTAGAGCACAAAATAAACACCGAAGTTCAAACTAGGTTAAGAAGCTCGTAGAGCACAAAATAAACACAGAAGTTAAACTAGGTTAAGAAGCTCGTAGAGCACAAAATAAACACAGAAGTTCAACTAGGTTAAGAAGCTCGTAGAGCACAAAATAAACACAGAAGTTAAGTTAGGTTAAGAAGCTCGTAGAGCACAAAATAAACAGTTATAGTAAACACAGAAGTTAAACTAGGTTAAGAAGATCGTAGAGCACAAAATAAACAGTTATAGTAAACACAGAAGTTAAACTAGGCTAAGAAAATCGTAGAGCACAAAATAAACAGTTATAGAAGAACAAAATGTGTGGTCGTAAGTAAAATCGTGCACCAACTGAAGCTGTAGATTACTTATTTCCGTACGCAGTTACACACGAAAACGTAACCATACAGAGAGAGACTTGTAAACATGTTAAGAAATCATTACACATTAAAATAATAAATTCAACATAATTCAAAATAAATACAAACCAACTGAGCAGTGAAGCACTTTGTTTGTTTGCTTTAAGTTAAGCACAAAGCTACACAATTGGCTCTCTGTGCTCTGCCAACCATGGGTATTGAAACCCGGATTCTAGCGCTATAAGTCCTCAAACATACCGATCAGTGAAGCACTTCAAACAGATATAATCAAAGATGGTTTGTTATTGTAGATAAAAATGCGTAACTTATTTAAAAAAAAGGTTTATTATCATACATATAAATATATATCTTATAATATCACGTACTGCACACTATGAAAACACACTATCCGCCGACCTTTGAACTTTCCATATCATGTTTGCAGGTGATTATATATATCGATATATTTGTTTAGAGACGGACGTGGCTAGCGTGCCCAGACTGTGAATTTGAAGGTCCATGGTTCAGATCCCGATGAACAGAAAAAAAAAACGCGCTCCGCACTGTGGGGGCTGTGGATGCGCTATAAAAGTGACGGTCAAATCCCACTATTCGGTCAGACAAGAGTAGTCTAAGAACCGGCGGTGAGTGCTTTTCTTTTAGTCTACGAGTTCAAAGTAAGGGATAGCTCTACGCAAAAATTCTGAGATAAACATTTGGCTAAACTTATATAAGTATCTTGTAATTTTCTCTAATATATAAACGAGTGTGTATTTTTATTTTATAAAATTGATATTCCCAATTATTTCCTTTCCCCAGCTGGCTTAATGTTCAACACGCAGCTGTGTTAACCATCACTCATTCAGCGTCTTTAAGTGTTATAATTTTTAATTAGACATTTGAATATTACGTTTTATAAGATTATCTTTATGGAGATTTTTCTGGAGTTTCCACGAGATCGATACGATTAATTATTCGATTATTAAAGTGTAACATATCAGTGCTTTACTGATGGTTTACTTATTAGAGAACACTTCGCCTCTTAAATTGTCTCACTGTTATAGACACTCATATATATATATATGTGAAACACCATATAATTTTCGTTTTAGCCTTGAAAAATGTGATGTTAACTTTTTTTTTTCACTATTATATAACTTCAGGGACCAAACGAGGTCCATTTTTTACTGTTATTTAACCCCTCAAGATCAAACAAAATTTGATTCTCCCTGTCATATAACCCCAGTGATCAAACGAAGTCCGCTGGTAATCTGATTGTATGTTAGGAATTTTGCGAACTAGGGTAATGTACTGTTTATCTGTAATTGGTGATGACGTACGCGTTGCGTCAGTCAGCATACACATTGGGATTATATGGAAAACTTCATAAACACAGAAGTGGTGGAACTTTGGGAATGACTAAATACTACAAATGTTGTGGAGGATGTTTGATCATAACGTATTTTCACAATACACTTTATTCAATTAGCGCGAGGAACAACCTCACGCTAATTGGTCGTTGCATTACTATCGTAAGATATTCTGTTGTGTCATATAAATGTTCTCACGCTAATTGGTCGTTGCATTACTATCGTAAGATATTCTGTTGTGTCATAGAATTCTTCTCACGCTAATTGGTCGTTCCATTACTATCGCAAGATATTCTGTTGTGTCATAGAATTCTTCTCACGCTAATTGGTCGTTGCATTACTATCGTAAGATATTCTGTTGTGTTATACAGTTGTTCCTCAAGCTAATTGGTCATAGCATTACTATCGTAAGATATTCTGTTGTGTCATAGAATTATTCTCACGCTAATTGGTCGTTCCATTACTATCGCAAGATATTCTGTTGTGTCATAGAATTCTTCTCACGCTAATTGGTCGTTGCATTACTATCGTAAGATATTCTGATGTGTTATACATAATTCGGGTATTATCATGATACGAGTAATAATTATCTATTATAATAATACTCCGTTTTTGTCTGTCCTGAAAATGCCCGCGCACTTCATTTCAACGGATGCACAACAACATATCTAATACTTATCAATGTTTTTAAAAAGGTCTAGCATTAGGTCGTATAATAATAACAAAGTATAATTACTCAAACAACTGATTGTTTTAGCATTGATAGTATTAAGTATGGAAAGTTTAGCCCTAATTAAACTAAATCAAAAAACGTACACAAGTTACAGTGTAAAGTTATTTCTTTATCGAATATAGAATGACTAAACTAACGTTAGGCTTAAGACATGTGGACTTGTAGATTTCAGTGTCTGCTATTAGAATTATTTTGTATTATTCTAGAAATCCTGTATTTAAAGAAGTACTGTTGTGTTAAAGATACTAATCTGACCGCGAATATTCTGCGGGTCTCTGCTAGTATTAATAATAATGATTTTATCACCATATACGTAATAATTCGGATGTTATCATCATGTTATACGTTTTTAAGATTGTTGCTTGCTCATTGTTAAGCACTTGTGGGCCTGTAAGATGCTAGAAGAAATTTTTCTAGTGTGATTAAAGATTTAATGAAATATAATATTTTCCTATCTTTTAAAGTACTTAGTATATAAAAAATGATAGTACACAAGTTGTGTTAGCTGTTTTATAATCACCGAATGTTATGTGATAATTACAAGTCGTTGCATTACTATCGTAAGATATTCTGTTGTGTTATACAGTTGTTCCTCAAGCTAATTGGTCATAGCATTACTATCGTAAGATATTCTGTTGTGTCATAAATTGTTCCTCACGCTAATTGGTCGTTGCATTACTATCGTAAAATATTCTGTTGTGTTATACAGTTGTTCCAACATTTATCATTATAAAACCAGAATTATAACATTTATCATTACAAAACCAGAATTATTACGTATAAGATGTTAAAATTCATATTATTATTATGATAATAACACCTGGATTATAATCACAAGATAATAACACCGGCTTATAATATGATGATAACACCCAGATTATAGCTTATATTATTAAGAAAGGCGAATTATTGTACATATGATGATAAAATCTATATCATTATTATTAATATGATAATAACACTCAGATTACAGCTTATAGTATTATAACACCCGAAGTATTACCAATATGATAATAACATACATTTTATAATTAACGTGATGATAACACCTGAATTATAACTCATATAATGATAATGCCAAAGTATAACGCCAACACCCAGGATTACGTTGAACGGTGATAACAACCAGCTTGTTTCTTAGATATATCTCATAGTACAAAAACACTCACGTTTTATCTCAAATTCTTACATTTCGTAGGCACAAGAGAAACTATCTAGCACAACTTACGACAATAAGCTGCGAGCGAGATACTAGCACAACTTACGACAATAAGCTGCGAGCGAGATACTAGCACAACTTACGACAATAAGCTGCGAGCGAGATACTAGCACAACTTACGACAATAAGCTGCGAGCGAGATACTAGCACAACTTACGACAATAAGCTGCGAGCGAGATACTAGCACAACTTACGACAATAGGCTGCGAGCGAGATACTAGCACTACTTTTGACAATAAGCTGCG